TGCAATTGATCACTGTAAGCAAATCTGAGCATAAATGTCAACACTGCGTATTATTTAGTGATAGTAACTAATAAAATTATCAATGCAGTGCAACGAAAACGGTAGTCTAAATAAAAAAAATATTAATGCAATTCCGTGCGCTAGTTTACGGCATACGAGTTTAGACCGTGTTTTGACTTCCCACAATGAAATTTATTCATAACGACCTAGGTCACGTATATTCCCACTCACTGATTGGTTCAATAGTAGTAGATTATCAGAATGAGGCAAACTACCTTGCCGGAATAAATGGCACATGGTTTTATTTTACTTTTTTCATTCGTGTTGATTGAGCAAAATGATAAGTGGGAGTGTGTGGATAACAGCAGTAGTTATACTATACAAATTCCTTCACCTCATTGATTTTTGGGGATGTCAGACCGATGTCATATATGTCTTAATAATTACGGCTAAAGGTAGGCACGTTTTTTTCTTCGCGGCTCAAACAATTTGCAAATCGAAATTACGATTTCATACTCAGCATACACAGACACTCATAAACATTGAAACAAGTAAGAAATTTTGAGTACCGGTATATGAACTTTTGATGTAATTTTGTTCAAGAATTTCATGTCTCCGAATAGTATTCGGATAGCCAACAAAAGTATTCGGATCACAAATCTCGATCCGATTTTCAACACAATTCATCAACTTCTTCAATGACAAAATCTCTAACATCATGACTGGCATTATTGAGGTCCAAGCTTCTATGTCAACTGTACCATCCTACAGAATACCGTCAACCTCAACCATATCAAAATTCGAGCTTTATACAGAAGTGTCATTGCAAAAGATTATTCTCGAGAAAAAATCAAAATCTTCCGTTATTACTGCCCTTTCTGTTGAAAATAGTGAACGCATCCCTACGCGATGGTGTTTTCCCAGATGTTCTTGGTGTGGCCATTATACGTCCATTACTTAAAAAACCTAACCTTGATGCAGATATTATGAAGAACTATAGACCTGTAAGCAACCTCAGTTACCTGTCTAAATTGATAGAAAAGTGTGTCCACAACCAACTTGTCTCTTACATCAACCGAAATCATCTGGACAATATATTCCAATCAGCTTACAAACAGTTCCACAGCACAGAAACGGCTTTACTCAACAAGTCGATAGACAACCAACACTGTGTATTCCTGGCGCTTATTGACAAGAATCGCCGTAAAATTTGGTCTCGAGATACATCTATATGCGGATGATACTCAGGCATATGTCGCCTTCAATGAAACATCTATCACTGAAGCTACCACTCTCATTGAGGCGTGCTTAAATGAAATTCATCTCTGGATGACCACCAACTTTTTAAAGCTGAATCCTGAAAAAAACAGAACTTCTGATCATTGGAACCAGCCAACAACTGTTGAAATATTCCAATCTCTCCTTGAATTTCCAATACCAATACCTACAGCCAACAGATGTAGTTAAGAACATTGGAGCATACATCGACTCGACTCTATCCTTCGGACCACATATAAAGTCAATAACTTCAGCTTCCTTTCATCACCGCCGATACATCTCGAAACAACAAAATGATCTTTTTGGTTTGCAGCACCCTAATTGTGGAACTCCCTCCCCCACCATATCATCACTGCATGTGTTTAAACAACAGATAAAGACTCTGCTTTTCACAACTGCTTTCCAAGACCAGTATTGAAAAATTTGCCTAGCGCAATAGAAACTTTAATTAGTATTGTTGCGCGAACATAAATTTAGATATATTATTATCATTATTATATTCTAGAATTTATTATTACCCAGTGATTAATTGCATTTTTTCAACAAGGTTATGTAGTACCATGGTAACGGACGTACCACTGTAACGGGCGTACAAAGACATTTTCTTTAAAATAACCATTTTCATGAGATTATTTTCAACTTTTGCTATGACATCATAGAGATACCCTATGTTTGTCTTTTAATATGAAATGATTTTTCATTTTACTTACTTACATGGAAAGTTTTGACAATAAAAAATCTCATTTCTTGGTAACGGACGTACCTACGACATTATTGGATACTAATTACATATTCTTGGTCTTCAAATACATGAATGCAACGAAAATGGTATATTATTTGGCAGATCGACTCTAAGCCAACAAAATTGGAAAAAGTGATGTTTTAGTTAAAGCATTTTTAATGCTTAAAATATCAAGTTAGAAAAAGGGGGCAAAAATGTCACATTGCTCCCCATGACACCCTAATCTTGTTTAACACATGATAATGTGATACAATGTAAGTTTCACCAAAAATTGCACCTATTTTATCAAAATCTGATATTTACGGATAGACAAAATGCCTAGTTAAAAAAAAATTCAACAATTTTTTATTTTTGACTGTTATGTCCCCTTAACCGTGGAATTGCCCAGCAACTATTTATTTTGATGCTTGCCCCGACCTCCTGGGGCAGTGTCACACCTACTTTTTTGTTAGTATTTTGTCTGTAAATTTGGCAAAACAAACCCAACGCCTAGCCTTCTCTAGTCTGCCTCTGATCATATTACAGTCATTTCATTCTCTTCATTTTAAAAAGTACCATATCAATCAAAGCTGGAATGTGGACGTATATTGCAGCGTTAGCGATGCTCTCGTTTAAATTAGTAAATAGAAGAATCCTATTGAATTTCAGCAATTTCTGTTTATTACTTCTAGAGTTATGGCCCTTGTTTCACTAAATTGCACTTTGTGAACGCTCTAACCTCTAAATTCTAAAGTTATCTGCCGATCTGTATGAAATTTATGTGTGTTATTTAAGTTAGTAAAAAGAACAATCCTATTGAATTTCAGCAATTTCTGTTTATTACGTCTAGAATTACAGCTCATTTCACTTTATTGAATCTTGTGAACGCTCTAACTCAGAAAGTTATCATCTGATCTTTGAGAAATTTATATGCATTATTTAAATTAGTGAAACGATGAAGCCTATTGAATTTCAGCAATTTACAATAATTACTTCTAGAGTTATGGCTAAGGCTGTGCAAAAATATTGATATAATCGATAATCGGTAGAAGTTATTTAGCGATACGATAATCGATATTGAAATTCAAATATCGATTATCAGTATATTTAGTTACCTTCTGACGGCAAGTTACGGTCACTTTCACATGACTGAACTTGCAGTAGTCTGGCATTAGCAGACGAATGAATGAATACACAACGTCAACACAACTATTTCCCCCCTCTGCTTACAAACTGGCACATTTTAAATATATATTATTGTAAAAAAACTAAACTTTATGATTAAATACATTATTTTAATATTTTCGTTGTTTTTGTTGTTATTACTAGTTGAAACTAAAATAGGTCACGCACTTTGTGAACAATGACAATCGCACGTGATATATAGTAAAATTAGAATTATCTCCCTTCTTTGTTCTTGGTTGATTTGTAGAGAAATCGTCTGCTTTCACGATAAAACTAATTGTATTATTAATGATCAACTCCGCTTTTATTACTAAATCATGTCAGATTCAGCCCATACAAAACACGTTTTTGACTTCCAGGGAAAATATCTATATCTCTCGTAATTTCGTGGAAGAATTCTACTTTGGTTTTCATCTAAATTAACCAATCATAAAAATTCTACTTTGAAAGCCCATAATTATTTTTTTATTGTCCAATCAATAGACGCCTTCTATTTTATTTTATTCTATTAGTTAGTAGTAACACTGTGTGATTGCCAGTCACTTGCAAAGAGAAACCATGTATTGTCTTTAAATTTATCCGAGATAAAAAAAGGTTCAAATGAATCAAGAACAGAACTTAGAATAATACTCAAGTTAGTCCTACATTTAGCAACTAATTATTTTACATTAATTGATTTTTTTACTTACATCGGCACAGTATTAGACTAGGATAATAACACTACTGTAACTCGATCAACACAAATAACAGGTCGGTAAAGTTCGGATTTTTCCTGAAAAATGATAATCGATTATTATCGATAATCGCTGACAAATTCTTGCCGATAATCGATATTGAAATTTCATATCGATTCCCAGCCTTAGTTATGGCCCTTGTTTAACTTTGTTCAACCTTGTTAATGCTCGATTGATGAAAGTTATCATCCGATATGTATAAAATTTATATTCATCATTTAAATTTGTGAAACAGAGGTCTATTGAATTTCAGCAATTTCCTTCAAGGATTTCTAGAATTATGGCCCTTGTTTTACTTTGTGAACCTTGTGAATGTTTGGACAAAAGTGATAATCCGATCCGTATGAAATTTATATGCATTATTTCAATTAGTACAACGAAAAAGCCTGTCAAATTTCAACAATTTGTTTAGACTACATCCAGAGTTTAGGCCCTTGTTTCAGTTTGTAGAACCTTGTGAACCCTCGAACGACAAAAATTATAATCTAATCTGTATGGAACTGTCTTGTAAAGGCCCCCAATTACCTAGAAAGGAATAAATATGCGAGAACCCGTGTCGACCACTCAGACGATTTAGCTGCCGTGGGCGTATGTTTCGTTGCCTGGCAACCTATCTTTCTCATAAAGTATTATAGGTACGTTAAAGTCGTATCCCTTCCTTCAAATTTTTGTAATGTTCATATCAAAATATCATAATACACCAATATCGCAAATTCAGCCTCAAAATTGAAATTATCTGTCATTTTCAGGTGCAAAGTCTATTTTCCAAACTTTTCTGAGGGGCGAGCACCCTGAAGGGAGGTGTGGCAACGGTACCATTTGCAATGAACCGTCAAGTGTAGGTACATTGGTGCCCCCAGAAGCCTTTGCCCCCATCCCCCACCCCCCTAACAATTTTGGGTCAGCTACAAGGCCTGCCATGGTAACCGCTGGTTAATAATTTATCTTTATATTACATATTTGGACTCAAATAAGCAACTTTCAGTAGATGTCTACCTTGAAGTAATGACCTATATCAGAATCGGCAACCAGTATGTTGAATAATGTATTCCTTAAATAATACTTGTTTTTGTTTCCTTCAGCAAATGTTGGCTATCGCGAACCTGTTGTTAGAACACATGATCAGTTGAGTTTTATTGGACCAGAGAGAGCTTATTCTAGAGCTAATATGAATTTACCAGTACCAGTTAATATGTTTTTACCACCTGTACCACAACCTTATCAGCAACAGCCTTTACAACCAGGTTATAATAAACTTCATACTATTTAATAGATATGTGTTATGCCTGTCCAACCTCGTGGACTGCTAAAGACCCCTACATGCAAGCGAATTGTTGAAATAAAATTGAACCATATGTTAGTCCTGAAATGACCTGGTTTGTGTCAAGTGGACATTAAACCCCATCTCTCTCTCTCTCTCTCTCTCTGTATGTGTTATGACTGGTTCAGAGAAAAGATTACCTAAATTGTGGATCGAGAAAAGAATTCCTATTTCAATCATTGCATGAACAAATGGATGAATTTGTCCATATAAATATTTGTCATAGTCAAAATAGAGACAACTTCGCTGGGACATACACAACATGTACAATAAGAAAGTCATTGACTCTAAAAGCATGTGCAATATTAAATAATGAATAAAATGGCAATTAATGGACTCCTCCTATGTGTTTATATATGCGATAATATATTATAAATAGAACTATTTCCTTAAAGTATAGCAACTAATTTAATGAAGGATGCTGGTGTTTTTTTGTGTCAGGTATGGCTGGTCGAGGAGGTAAAGTGCGTCGCCAGAAACCACCTAGGTACAGCAACATGCAACAGACTGGAATGTCTCAGTTTAGTTTACCTGGAATGTCCCAAAGTCAGGCTAGTCAGGTATATAGTTATCTTCTATATTGTTCACTGTATTTTGAAGAAATAGTTTTGTCCGTCTGTCATACTTTTTGAGACACAATAACTTATTAACTATGCCACTAATTGTTGTAGAATGTTCAAACATGGTGTAGATGTTTATTAGATTAATGCCTGAGTTTGATCATAAGCAGAAATAAGCAGTTTTATTCTAATTGAGTGAGAGTGACAAAACCTGACGTCTACTGGTACTTTCCTTACATCAATACCTATACGAAGTTCTATAATGAGCATTTTCTGCTCAGGTTCAGCAGAGTGGTTTTCGGACCGACTGCTTGATGTTTTATAAAAAGATAAATGATCCATATAATTAAAGATACATTATGGGAGATTCGATAACGAGTTGGCATTTCTCACTATAATAGTTAAAAACTAGATAATGTAAAGGCAATTTGCTGAAAATTTCATTCAAATTGATCCACTATGAACCGAGAACTAAGCGGTTGAAATTTCCAGCTAGACTTGATCATCATTACTAAAGTCAGTACGATAAACAGCATAGTCTCTATTATCCATTTAATCATTAAATCGCGAAGGAAAGTTATGCAGTAAATAGACTCATAATCCACTAAAGATCGCAGGTTAGCGATGCCATCTAGAGTTGATTATGGTCTGGATAGGTTAATTAATGTCTAATTAAAAAATAGTTTAGATAACATTTCAGGTCTAAAGAAAGACCTGCAATAGGCAGATTTAGCTCTTGCATAATGCATGTTTAATGAATGTCTATTGTGTAATTGAGGTCGGGCACATCAGCCTCACTGTTGGCTTGTTTTCTACTATAATTTTAGGACATCATTTCACATATTTGATTAACGTAGAATGTTTTCATAGACATTGAAGCAACATTTGGATATAGTTGATCGAGCTTGAATAGTTATGATTATTTTATATTTCTTAATGATTGAAAATATTTGTCAGTTGTACTGGTACATAATTGCACAAATTTAAAATGTGTTCTGTTTTTGCAGGATGCATCACAGCCTTTCTCTCAAGGGCCATTGACTCAAGGTAACATGTCAATGAGTCAGCAATTTGCAGTGGGTCAACCTGGGTTATCAGGCTTGTCTCAGCCAGAGCTATCTCAGGTAATATATTATTAGTCTATTTTATCATTGGGATTATTAGTAAATTCATTTTGAAAGGTTTATATCCAACTTCAAGTGAGTGTTTCCTCAATTTTCCTTTTCTCCAGTGCTTGAATTTATTTAGATACTACATCATTTTTATACGGCCGCATTTATGTATATTGTCATCGTCCATTTGTGTGTCCATCCACATTTTGTTTGTGGACACTCTAAAGGTCACAGTTTTTATACACCCACATTTACATTTTCATGTGGACTGAAAATATAGCTTTATCTGAAAATGAAATGGGGTTTAACGTCCTACTGTTCTGCTCCTAAACTGGGCTAATGAAGACAGGCATACGCCCTACAGTGTGCTATGAGGTAAATTTTGCCCGGGCAGCGGCACTATCGCCTACTCTTTTATCGAATTCCAACTGCCAAGGGATCTTTTACGTGCATTCCAGTGTATACACGGGACCTCGGTTTTCCGTGTCATCCGAAGGACTAGACAGCTGTCCTTGTCAGGCCCTCCGTCCTGCATCACTGACGAGGGGGAACCACGCCGGATAATCTGGATGAACTTTCTCGGTCAATGCAGGGATCGAACTCCCGACCTCCAGGCTAGCGAGCTAGCGTCTTACCCACTCAGCCACGTGATCCCCTTAGCTTAATCTCCCTAAGATCTCAGTTCCTTTCGATATTGGCATGTATCGGACCGTAACGTCATGGAAATCGGCCCAAAACTGACACACAAAATGGTCGCCCCTCGTTCTCAAATAGCGTAAAAATATGGTATATCAAGGTTGTGGACCCTCTAGAAGTCACAATTTTCTTCTGATTTTGAAGAAACCCTTTTTGTAAGTTTATTACCCAAAGATCTCGGTTCCTTTCGATATTCGCGCATATCGGACCGTAACTTCCTGAATTGTACGAAAAATTCGGTTTTTAGCTTGTGGACCCTATATTATAGCGGTCATAATTTTTATCCGATTTAAAAAAAACGTTTGAATATATCACCATTACACTCTAAGGATGGTTGATTTCAAATTTTTTTTAAAAAATCGGAACAAAACTGACAGACAAAATGGCCGCCCCTCGTACTCAAATAGCGTAAAAATATGGTATATCAATGTTGTGGACCCTCTAGAGGTCACAATTTTTTCTGATTTTGATGAAACTTAAAATGTAAGTTTATAACCCATAGATCTTGGTTCCTTTCGATATTTGCGCATATCGGATAGTAACTTCCTGAATTATGGCCCCTTATTTTACGAAAAATTGCATTTTTAGCTTGAGGTCCCTCTAGATGTCACAATTATTATCCGATTTTAAAAAAAGTTCAAATATATCACTGTTACACCATAATTTTGGTTGAGTTCGAATTTTGTAAATATCGAGTTAAAACTGCTGGACAAAATGGCCGACCCTCGTACGCAAATAGTGTATAGCATCTGGTATATCAAGCTTGTGGATCCTCTGGAGTCACAATTTTGACCTGATTTTGATGAGAGTTGAAATACATGTTTATAGTATAACCCAAAGATCTTGGTTTCTTTCGATATTCACATGTATCGGATCATAACTTCCTGAATTATGGCCCTTGAATGTACAAAAAATCATGTTTTTAGCTTGAGGTCCATGTAGAGGTCACAATTTTTATCCGATTTAAAAAAACATGCGAATATATCACCATTACACACTTAAGATCTTGGTTTCTTTTGATAATCGCGTATATCCAAACGTAACTGCCTGGATTATGGCTCCTGATTGTTCGAAAAATCACATTTTTAGCTTGCAGATTTTCTAGAGGTCACAATTTTTTTTTTACGATTTTAAAAACCGTTTAAATATTTCACCATTCCACCATTAGGCCAAAAAAAAAAGGGTTCTGTTTCCTGTAACAGATGGGAAATAGGGTAGGGTCTGGGGGGGGGGGGGTATTTCTTTTCTTTTTTTAATGCTTTACATTGTTAGATCTAGTAGTACCGTAGATCTACCGTACGTCCGTAGCAACTAGCATAAATATTCTGTGCGAAATAAATCTTCAATTTTATGTTAGGTTGAGTCAGCGCCGAGGAACATGAAGCACTAATAGATTGGTTGATGGAATTCTTGGATAAATGTTTAAAATGTAACCTAGATTATGATTTAAATATTCTCTTAGGGGGCAAATGGACCTTTTAATCATTCTATGCTAAAAAAAAAAATAGCGTAGGGAGGCCATTTTGTTTAAGGGAAAGAACTCGCGAAGAAATCTTTAAAAATCATATCGTGCCGTTGCACAAAATAGGTCCGTAATAAATTTATTTGTCTTCTTTTAAATACCAATCGAGCAGATCGTATCCACCTGTTCGAAATATACGTTAACTTGTTTTTGTCCAATTTCGTGCGGTTACTTATTAGAATGAAGGTTGTGAGGATTATAGCTTTTCAGAATGTGCAGTGGTAAATCTAAACGAAACCTGTAGTCTCGATTTTCACGTTGGTTTACAATCTCGCGTCGACAGTATGGCTGTTCTTAATAATCGTTCGCTGTACAACATATCCGACCATTCCGATCGGTAAATGCAGATTAAAGAACAATGGCATTCATATTCATTTATAGCAACAAATAAATAGGCATTTTCACGAATCCGATAGGCTTTGAGTATTCTGAACGGTCGGTCGTTGAACAAAGTTTTTTTTTATTATTTCTCTTGACACTAAAAAAAAATTGAGTCACAATTTTTATCCGATTCTGATAAGGCATGTTTTATTATAAAGTGTACCAGTGCATGGGTATCTAACAAATGTAATGGTTTTATTAGAAAAGAGAAAAAGAGATTTTAAATATTTTTCTTATCTTCAAAATCAGCATATATATTGAACATATAAAATACTTAATGCCAGCTTTATTGGTGTATTTTTTTATTTTAAAATAAGTTTCAAATATTTTAATGAATTACATCATTTAAGACAGATATTTTTCCCATCATTTTTTATCAACAGTTTAGAATACATTGAAATAACATTTGTTTTAAAATTTTTAATTTATTTTTGTATAATTATAATGGCAAGTGTGTCTTCTTTAAAACAGACTTAAAAATATACTGATGAGAAAAATACAAGTTCCGAAAATTGAATTGTTCAAACCCCAGTGAAAATTTGACTAGTCTGTCAATCCACTACATTATTGTGGTGGTCTTACTTTCGTTTTGTAAACTTTGTATTTTTATTTCATGTGGAAATAAATTTGTCCCTTTGTGGAATGGCTGTTTATGTTTTAGTATATGCCATTTAAAAAAGCAGGAAAATGGTTTGGAAAATCAAATTTCCATGCTTATATATTGCTAACGTTTCGTTCAATTGATGTCTGTCCAGTTTTAGCAAAACGTAAGCATTATTTTAATATTTCTTTCCGGCTTCATATTGCGTGATAGAATTTGAATAACCGCTGCAAACGAAGTGTGAGTGTAGTCTCGATCTTCCACACAGGATACAGATAATTTGACACGGGTAGTCGATTGATTATGCCATTTTTACAGTTGTCTGTCCGAAAATGTTAACGTTGGCCCTCTTGATACGTTAGCACCACTAATTCACCTTTCACAGCGTTATTTAGTCAAAATGTATCACTTGCTTTACGGCCTTTAGAAAAGAAAATCGGCTTTCCGATTCCCGATGCATAAACATGGCGGTCGGCATTCTCGCCTTTATTCACTCGATCAAAATGACTTTGACTCCCTCAAAAAAGTGCTAACGTGTCAATTGTCAGACCGATTAAATAAACCGTCTGTCCTTACGTAACGTTAGCACGCGCTTTTAAAATACTTTTTGTCCGATTTTAAATTTAAAACTCGCCCAAGGGTAGAAATACTATACAATTTATTAATACCTTTCATTGCGGACTATTTGAATTTTTAGTTAAAAACAATAATTCAAGTAATACAGTAATTTATAAAATGTCCATGTCTGTCCTTATGTAACGTTAGCAGCAGTTGCATGCCCGATAAATGTTTAAATTTTAGGTTATTAAAATATATGATTATTTATTATATTAATCTTAAATTCTTAATATTATGCTTTATTTTGCATGTAAAAAATCTCAGTAACTACTTACATCAACACTATAAATAGAAATTTTCTTCAAACTTTAGTGCTAATGTTACAAATCTGCCAGAATGTCTGTCCACATGTAACATTAGCAATGCAATTAATTTTTAAATTAAAAATTAATTTCTAAATCATATCCCATCAAACTTTAGATTTAGATAATGTATTTACATTAAACTTTTGAAGAAAATTATTAATATATGGGTCACTTTTTGGTATTGTGCACAAAAGTGTGACATTATTGCTAGAAAATAAATCTTCACTAATTTTGCTTAAATTTATCTGCATACAAATAGGTGTCACAGCTCCATTGCCCACGTTGGAAGAAAGTCATTTTTTCCTGATTTGTTACCCTTTTTCAACTTAACGTCATAAGGTGGCTATTTAATATTTTGTAATAATTTAAAATATTTTGGAAGCCGATATCCTGTTCTTTTGTTTGATATAATTTTTATATATGTGTTCATTTTATTAATTTCATAAACGTAAGTTGAAAAACGTTAATTTCCCGTGTTTTGACGTTACGCTGATAATTTTTGTCACGTTTTTAAACGAGGGTATCCCACTTTAAGTGCTCGGCGGGCGCACTTATTATTAATATTATTTTTTCATTCTAATATCATTAGAAAGATAAATGAACGATCTTTCAATTGGTCGGGGGTGCTTTGTTGGCATTTCGAAATACCATGCATTTTTTGCAAGTTGAACGCTTCAATTCACGCAATCTTTTTTTTAGGCGATTTTTCAATATAGCACCCCCGACCGATTGAAAGTTTGTTTTATTGTCGTTTTGAGGCTATTAAAATAGTGCGCCCGCCAAGCAATTGAAAATGGTATGCAATGAGCAATTTTGTCAAAAATAAATCGCGTAGTTTTGCCTTGTTATGACGTCATTTCAACACCAAAACTAAAATGTATTCCATGTT